AATATACATGGATGACAAACATTTCCTCTTCCATCACAGCGGCCAAATATTACACATGTTCAAACAAACTACAATAACAGAAACATTTCACCATTCCAACATGATAATGGTTGACATCGGTTAGTATAAGCCTAACACTGAGATTACTTGAATATAACATAGATGAAAAAACATTTCCCCTGTCATCACACCGGCCTAAAATTAGACATGCCTGAATTAACTGCAATATTAGAAACCGTTCACCATTATAATTGTTGACAGTAGTGTACGGGTTCAAACGGCCTAGAAAAACACAAACATTTCACCAATCCAGTATAACAGCGTAACAGTAATCCAATGATTACATGAATACATAATGGATGATATACATTACCACTGCGATAACACCGACTAAATATACCACAGGCCCAAACTAACTACATTACTTAAAACATTTCTCTAATCTGTTATTGCAATGATTGATTCTGTCTTAACACTCACATGAACAATACACGAGATTAGATAAATATATAATATCTAACACAGATTACTACTTCCATTACATCAACCAAATATTACACATGCCCAAACAGAACGACAACAGCAACATTTCGCTAAACCAACATTTCAAACGTTGATACTGGTTTAGATAACACTGCCTCAGATATTCCCTGAATGCATTATAGATGATTACCATTGTTATCACATCTACCAAATATTGCACGTGTTAAAAACCACTGGTTAACACTGATTTTCTAAAATGGTGATTGTAATCAACGCAGTAAAATTGATCTCATGAACTGTTGTTATGTTATGTCTATATATTAAATTCCTATAATTTATATTAACGGATAGGTTTGTCCGAGTTTCTTTTTCAACATTGATAGTACATTATCTCGTGCAAAACAACAGCCACCACATAAAACCAATCTAGAGTGTCCACACCCCACTTCTTTACCTATTACAGTTTTTAAAGTGTACCACATAGTACAAAATGACTCACATAGCTAGAGCCTTACACATCTTTTGACCATACACAATATTTTGTTTTCATTTTAACAGAGGATGATTTGTGTGAAACTGACAATGGCGGTTGTGAACAAGTGTGTTTGCACGTGGACGAACATGTAATATGCTCGTGTTATCCGGGATATTTGATGGACCATGAAACTCAATTATGTGTTGGTAAGTTCTGAATATGCATTGTATTCGCGAACATATAGCTTTATTTTTATTTTTTATATTTATTTTTCAGTCACTGAGAAATTGAGCAAAATGCGTGATCGTACGTCTGACACAAAAACCAAATGATTCAAATTTGAACTTGAATTTCTCAATTTTATGGTTGATTGTCGAAATGCTGATCTTTCAGAGTGACATTTGTGACATATGGCGTTGGCATTCCATTATCTGATCAAAATTGGCCATTATTAAATGTGTATAGTACATTATTAATCATGGGAATGTCTAAATGCTTAATTATTTTCGAGTTTTTAGAAGCCCACATACTGTTTTGTCTATTATAACGCCATACCGCTCGCCAACCTATTTAATCAAATGGACATAACTTTTATCACCCGCAGGTAACGGTCAAAATTAGCTAATTTTGCTCATTTTAATGAAATAAACATATCTGAATGGCCAAACTGATGATTAATTTGAATATGCTTAAGAAAATTAAATGTAATAATATGTTAAATAATAATCATGTACTTACACACGTATAATTGAGACTTGTTTTACAATACGTTATTACATTGTCAATGCATTGACATATGTATCGGAATGCCACTAAATTGTATTGAGTGACGTGGTAATCTAATCTAATATACAAACATATATAAATCTCTCACAGATGTAGATGAGTGTGAACATGACAATGGAGGATGTAGTCATTACTGTGAAAACACTGTTGGATCGTTCATCTGTTCATGCGATGAAGGGTATGAAATTGGTCCAGACGGAAGAACATGCGTTGGTACGTCCATCTTACTGTTACATCTTACAAACATTCTGTAGCAACGATCTGAATATCGGCTGTGATGACCACAACATGACCATGACAGTTCATTGAACCAGGCAAGACAGTTCACGTATTTAATGTTGCTATAATACATATGACTCTCATTGCAGATATTGACGAGTGTGCACTTGGTACTGACAATTGTGAACAAATCTGTCACAATACCGATGGGTCGTTCACATGTTCGTGCTATCCTGGATATACATTGGATCCGAATGGATACACCTGTTCAGGTATACATAAGTTTGCTTTTCCTGGGTTACTCGAAACTATACTCTACGATGATGTTTTTTTTATCTATTGTTAACGATTATATAATGGTTTATCAATAGATGTTGATGAATGCTTGGAAAACAATGGAGGATGTTCACATCATTGTGAAAACACCGTTGGTACATTTGTTTGTGGATGTCCAGATGGATATATTTTGATCGATGACCAAAACACGTGCGTCGGTGAGTTATAACATAATTTCTAATTGTGGTATTGCATTTGTACATATTTTACGGCAAGTATTTATCATAGTAATATATTTACAACCTTGTAATTGATTATTGGATACTGAAAAAGTATGTTCCATCAAATGTTACATTCCAGGAAATAATAGTACTATTATATTATTTTAGATGTCAATGAATGTTTGGATGACAATGGTGGATGTCAGCAAATATGCGTAAATACAGTTGGATCATATAATTGTGATTGTGAAGAAGGGTTTGTGTTGAATGACGATGGTGCAACATGTTCTGGTAAGTGTGATTAGCTAATCACTTCATTTACAATTTGGATTACCTTATTGATAACTGCCATAAAATTGCACAATCACCGTATACAGTACTGATATATTTACCCACAACGTGCAATGTCAATATTATGCGAGTAAACTATATGATACGTTATACAACTAGAAACATGTAGAATTGAGATCTCAGCTAACACTGGTCTAATTTTATTTTAAGACGTAAACGAGTGCGATGAGGAAAATGGTGGTTGTGAAGAATTGTGTATAAACACAGTGGGGTCGTACGAATGTGCGTGTATTGAGGGATATGAACTGAATGATGATGGTCACTCATGCACTGGTGGGTAACTCAACTTAGGTTTTATGTCAAGAATACTACAAGATAATATTTATGTAGTTTAATGAGATTTTTCTGTATTTACAATTTTCCACAAAAAGTGCATTATATATAATCCAAGAATGTATAATTTGACTTCTAAAATCCTATACATGTTTATATATTTATTAGTATGTTTTTTTGTTTTAATATAGATATTAACGAGTGTCTCGTTGATAACGGAGGTTGTCCTCATACTTGTCAGAATACTGATGGGTCTTTTGCATGTGGGTGTGCAGAAGGATTTGTAATGTCCGAGGAAGAAGAGTGCATTGGTACGTAATCATTTATTGTGATAAGAATCTAAATTGACCAATCAAGCTAACACAACTTAAATTTTGATTATAGAATTCGCGTCTTAGTTATGTTATCTTCTACATATTGAAAATAATTTTCTCCAAAGAGCGGCATGCTTGTATTTCACACTTTGCTATTTCAAATAATACCAGAATAAGCACGAGTAAGATATGTGAATATACTATTTGTGAAATGGCGGAATGTAAACACCAATGTGGGTTTATCAGCTTCATTTATGTTGTTTTTCAAAATATATAATGATGTTGTTTATTATTTGATTCTAGAAGGCACATTACTTTTTTTTTATAAATGTTATTACTGTTTAAATGGCTCATCAAATCTACGAACTGCCTTATTGTTGAATCTCTGTGTGTTTCTCTGTATATGCAGATATCGACGAATGTGCTGTAGACAATGCAGGCTGTGAGCATAGCTGTGTAAATACATACGGATCTTTCGTATGTGGATGTCCACCCGGTTTCATACTTAGTCACGATCTGGAGTCCTGCATTGGTAAGAAAAGATAATCTGTGATACCGTAATTGAACAGCCCAGTCCCAACTTGACATTTTGATAACTGGTTTCAGTATTATAGTTGCCAACGTTGTGTCAATTATTTATCGATTATGAATATTTATGAACTAATCCACACGTGTGATGAGTGTTATCACAGGTGCATTTCCACAAAAGTTCATAATTATGTAACTAATGCATATCTAACTATAACTATTATATTTCTTTCCAATTTGCTTACCAATACAAGTGGATGTTCTCAATTTGATGCATGATGCATTTGATGCATTTCATTCTGTATACTAATAATAACCACTAAGATTTATAGAATAACAATCTCTCGGAAGATCTTGCACGGAATGGTAAATCATCTACCATTTCCATGGGTAAAAGGTAAAAAGAAAATTAAAAAAAGAAGAATTTAAAATAACATCTTCTTAGAATTAATTTCATGCTGCCAATTTTTGGAACAGTTGTCACTCAGAGGAAATAGGAAGACTGTTAGACATTTAAAGGTAATAACTGCGTAAATGTGTATACACATTTCATCCAACAATGTTTCTATTTGGCAACAGAAACATTTTACAGTCTCACGTCACGCGTTCTGTTTTATTTTGTCTTAAACGTCGCCATCTGTTCCCTCGGAATATCTACAGGTAAGACATGTTTACACAATTTATCTCTAACAAAATGTTGTTATAAAAAAGTATGATACTTGGAAACTTGCCGTTTTATTTGTTGAGGAAAAGTTTCCTGGTTCCTTGCATAATAGTGTATTTCTTTTTTCAGCAGGGTTACCTTTAATTTATCTTGGTATATCGACGTTGCTGGCAATAATCATAATGTGAACTAGAGACACCAATTGGATTCATGTTCCCTATAAACCGAAATCTCGCTTGCAGAATAGCGTAGCACATACAGTATATCTGCAAATATCATTTTGTAAAATAACAACTTGTCAAATAAATTGAAAAAGAAATACGAACTAATTTGCTTTCTTGCCTTGCTAGCATGTTCCGTCTATTATGAAATGCGCCTTCTTCCTATAATCGGTATAGTCTCTATGAATGAGATTTTATAAGCTTCATATTGTCTGTTGTCTCAAAACCATTCTGTATATATTGCCTCGGATTACATTACATAATTATAATATACAGTATTTGTAAATATTCAAAATGCGAGCAAGTAAGATAATGATTATATAAGCAAAAGGCGAATTGCCTAAACATGATATGCAAAAGTTTCCATGGAGCCCGAATATATTTCGGTCACTAACCCGAGCCTGGTGTCTTTATTTCACCTAGATGTGGACGAATGTATCAACACTGCACATGGATGTCAACACAGATGCAAGAATAGAATCGGCTCCTTTGCATGTTTCTGCAACGCAGGACATGCACTCAATGACGATGGCAAATCATGCTTAGGTATTTGTTTTATTCTTTTACCATTTATCAATTATGGTTTAGTAATTAAGGTGTGGTCGAATCACAGTTCGTTTTATTTCATTTACAGATAAAAACGAATGTGAGCAGCATAATGGTGGTTGTGCGCATGCGTGTACCAACACTGAAGGTACTTTTGTATGTACCTGTCGCAAAGGGTATACGCTAAGTGCAGATGAACGTGCCTGTTCCGGTGAGTCAATATATATTGATTTCATTTTTTTCTGGCAACGTATTAGTACAAAATGCATATGTTATTCTGCCGTGTGTTTACTGAGTTGGGTTTGTTTTCAGATATAAACGAATGCGCCGACGGAAACGGAGGATGTCCCCATTACTGCCACAATACTGCGGGTTCATTTACTTGTGGCTGTGAAAGCGGTTATGTTCAAGATCGCCATGGTACTTCGTGCATTGGTAAGTTTTGTCGTGGAATATACGGTATACAAGTATAATCGCAGTTTCGTTTATCTGGATATAAAGATTACGCTCTTATTCAGATTACAATACATTTTAAAAAAATGATTAACATAGCTTATTTGGGAATTCCTTGATTATAAACATTTTCTCCACATTGTATTGTGTCAAAAATAGTTATTTAATTTTTTCACAGACTATGACGAATGCCGTTTCAGAAACGGTGGTTGTGACCAAATATGTGAGAACATCATTGGCTCGTTTATTTGCTTCTGTTTCACTGGTTATGTAATCGGAGACGATGGTGAAAGCTGCAATGGTAATTGGCCTTATAATACTTTTCAGTTTGACGAGAATACCATTGCTGGAACGGTGCAATTGGTTAACAATGATTTTTTGAAAAACCCGATGTGTGTTTGCCAGTAACCTATTATATTCATTATTATGCATTATTGAATATACTAAACTAAATTATTATAATTTGTGGGCAATTCCATTCCACGTATTAAGCATATAGTTCAATTTGAGAATGTCTGTAATTACTATCAAAATGGAAATGTTAACCAGTCTTGCCTAGTGCTTGTTATTTCGCTTCCCTAATGATAACCACCAGTCCTTGGAAATGTGTTTTTCGCCGATACGTAGATATTTGGCTTACATTACAGTAATTCACATTGTAAGAAACATTAATTCCATATACTTGTGCAAAATAACATTATTAAATTTGTGAAGCTTGTTATTTTAAGATGCGATTGATGACATGAAAATTTATTACTACTTGTTTGGTTGGCATCAATTAACAAAACATAAAGTATTTTAAGAAAATGTTCACACCCTTAATTGAGGTATTGTTATGCAAACAGTTATATTTAAATGACAGTGTATTAATTATCATGGTAATTGATTTGTGCAATTGTTGTAGATATCAATGAGTGTGGTATTCATAATGGTGGTTGTGAACATCGATGTGAAAATACGATTGGGTCATATATTTGTTCGTGTAATCCTGGCTATGTAATTAATGAAGATGGGCACACGTGTTCTGGTGAGTATTTGTACAGATATATGCAGGTTGCAATAAGCTACATGGTCAACAACAGTCATCCATCTTTGATATGTTAATCAAGGCAAGGTGTAAAAATAAACATAGATTTTGTTTTAATTTTGTATTTTGTACTGTTTACAGGGAATTCCCTTATTTCTTATAGCGTATTTCGTTTGACAAGTAAGTGCATTTTATTTTATTTTATCTTTATGCTCATTTGTTTGTGTTGAACAATTTCCAAAAAAAAATATTTTCAGTATATATGATTTGATGTCGTATTATACATTTTTTTCTACGTTTGCATTTCAGATCAAAATGATTGTGGCAAATATAACGGAGGATGTGAACACTTGTGTAAAAATGCGGGATTGTTTGTGACATGCTTTTGTCAACCTGGCTATACACTGAATTTGGATAGCAAAACATGCTCAGGTAAATTTTCACGATTTGGCTGCAGTTTTAAACTAACACAAAAACAAAACTGAAATTACGTGATGTTTATTAAGTTGTGTTTTGTTGTGTTATGCTATAGACAACGACGAGTGTACTAATAACAACGGAGACTGTGACCATGACTGCCTTAATATTAAAGGGTCATTCAGATGTGAGTGTAGACATGGTTATATAATTGATGGAGATGGACATTCATGCAATGGTGAGACCATATTGTAAATATATTGTTATAATAAATCCGTTGTACATAAGAAACTGATCCTCGAAGCTGAGAATATATAATTTCCGATTGTGTATTTAACAGACATCAATGAATGTGATGATATGAATGGTGGTTGTGAACATAGCTGTGAAAATACACGTGGGTCGTATCACTGTTGGTGTGCTACTGGTTTCTTGTTAGCAAGAGATGACAAAAGCTGTGATTGTAAGTAACAAGATAACAATCAAACTCGACAAATGTGTTGATGGCCACATAGTAACAATTTCGGTATAGTTTTACCTGTGGAATTTTGTGTATCGTTTCTTTTAATTTATAGTAACAAAATAACAGTGATTAGAAATTAATTTTCATGCATTCCCAACATAATGATAATTGTTTGTATCGCACAGACATGGGATGCAATATGGAACTAGATATTTTATATGACTCCAGAAAAAAAGATATCATCAAGGATGGAAAACTCAATAAAAAGTCACGCCAGAAGAATGTTGTTATGATTGTACAGAAACCCCTGGGTGTACAATCTGGACATGGGCTGAACATGACAATAGATGTGACCTTAAGAAAGGAGTGCTAAACTCATTATACAGTTATGGATATGTCTCAGGAATACATTTGCAGGTAGGACGAGTGTACTCTACATTTCTATGTTTATTAACATTTATCAATGACGGTGAAAGAACACCCCTTCCCCTTCATTATACTTATATTCAGTCTAAGTATATTTCTTTCCATCTCAGATACTGATGAATGTGAAAACGATAATGGTGGATGCGAACATGAATGCGTTAATACCCATGGATCTTATCATTGCTTATGTAATACTGGTTATATTTTGACACAAGATACAAGGTCTTGCTTTGGTATGTACGTATAATGTATCATCCAAATAAAAAGGTAGAAGTATCAAACATGTCACAGATTTTGACTATGAATTAAGTAGGATTGTTTACTATGAACATTTTTTTTTAAAATACGTTGACAGATGTTGACGAGTGCAATGACAATAATGGAGGGTGCGGGCAAATATGCGATAATACAGTCGGCTCATTTACATGTTCCTGTGAAACTGGATATATGCTGAATATAAACGATCGTATGTGTTATGGTAAGTATATGATGAAGGTATTGTGTTGTATATTCCAGAAGAAAAAAATGTCCTGCTTTCTTGCTGCGCTATATGAATATGTTATTATTTTATAAAACACTCTTGTTTCTCTTTAAGATATGAACGAATGTGAAAACTGGAATGGTGGCTGTGAACAATATTGTATCAATATAGATGATTCATACAGATGTGATTGTGTAAGTGGGTATATTTTGAATGAAGATGGTAAATCTTGTTCAGGTAAGTAAGCAGTTTATTTAGTCTGTTATATTACACTCTGGTATGCATCGCTAAATGCTCGACAAACATGCATTCAATACATACTATTGTTTTTTTTCCAGATAGTAACGAATGCGAGGAAGATACACATTTATGCCAACAAGTATGTTTAAACGTACTTGGTTCGTTTGTCTGCTCCTGTTTTGATGGATATGCACTGGGCCGCGATGGATACACTTGTATAGGTAACCTGCTTTTGTTGTCGTACACATAAATACAAACCACTTTAGTATATATTTTGTTCGTACATTTTGTGTTAAGTCAGCTCTTATTCTCATGTATACATAATCTGTGTTTTGTTTTTACATTTAGATATAAATGAATGCAACTCATATAATGGGGCATGTGAACATACGTGTGATAACACTCATGGATCTTTCATATGTTCGTGCAATACCGGATATAGGATAAACTCCGATGAACGAACATGTACAGGTAATAAGTTTTCCCTTACCATAATCGGAAAAGACTGTTCTGAACTATGACTATGTGAAATGATTGCGAGTTACACACAGCTAATTACATGTCATATTTAAAAACCAAATAACCCACAATTCTGGTCACTCAGTAATATATTGTTCCTTATTCCTAGACATAAACGAGTGCGATGGAAATAACGGTGGATGTGCACACGTATGTGAAAACGTAGCAGGAACGTTTGAATGTCTCTGCCACAGAGGTTACGTACTGAATAGCGATGGTCAAACATGTTCAGGTAACATTTTCCACGGAAATTGATATCTAATAATTCGATGTCTGGGAGTAACACATTTTATAACCACTTTGCTTTTTACCGTTTGAATATTGATTGTAAGGGATTTTTGAATACATTTTCAGATGACAACGAATGTAATGTCAACAATGGCGGTTGTCAACACATATGTGAAAACACAGATGGGTCGCATTCATGTTTCTGTAATAGTGGTTTTTCATTGTCTGGCGATGGCAAAACATGCAATGGTGAGTATTACCTTGTTGAGTACAGAACTACTTAGGTCAGTCTACGTGTGTACATCTTGTTAGATAATGAACACATGTTTTCGAATTATTTTTCCTTGCAGATCACAACGAATGTCGTGAAAATAACGGCGGATGTGATCACGTATGTACAAATATTGATGGGTCATTTACCTGTAGCTGCCAAGTTGGTTATACCTCAAGTACCAATGGAAAATTATGTTCTGGTAGGTTTCAAATGTGTTGTTTGTCTGTTTGTTCGTGTATTTATTTATTTATTTATTTATTTATTTATTTATTTATTTATTTATTTATTTATTTATTTATTTATTTATTTATTTATTTATTTATTTATTTATTTATTTATTTATTTATTTATTTATTTATTTATTTATTTATGTGTTTATTTATTTGTTTATTATTTATTTATTTATTTTACTGTAGATAACAATGAATGCGACATTGATAACGGAGAGTGTGATCATATCTGCAACAATACTCGTGGTTCATACGAATGTGATTGTAGAAATGGATATATACTAAACAGCGATGGACATTCTTGTGATGGTAAGATTTCGTCTACTCAACAAATATTTCCGAAATAAATCAAGCTATTTGACGATATACATAATTTCAATCCAGGCTGGTGCGTACATTTAACTTTGTTATCTGGATGTACTTACGTGTGATAATAAATAACCAGTATATGTCGGAATTTCTGTTCCGAACCATTGGTAATTTATAATTATTTTGTTTTTTGCTAGACGTTAATGAGTGTAATAATCATAAAGGTGGTTGTGAACACAGTTGTCAAAACACGTACGGGTCCTTTATATGCACATGCGATCTTGGTTTTGTGTTATCAGTCGATGGTTTTACGTGCATTGGTAAGTCACGTTTATCTCCAAAGTGAATGTATGCATATACGAACAAAGTTTCTCTTCAAACACGGCCTCTTTAGTTAATATATTGATCTCAATAATAAGTATCACATCGATACTCAATAATAAGTATCACATTTCAGATATGGGATGTTTAATGGAACAAGATATTGCCTATCCAGGCGAAAATGCGGAGAGTATTATATTGACTGGAAACAGTGATACTCCGGAAGACTGCTGTATTTACTGTACTGACACACAAGGATGTACAATTTGGACCTGGAATCAACATAACAAACACTGTTTTCTTAAGAAGGGAAATTTACAACGAAAATATCATCACGGCCACGTTTCTGGAATTCCATATTCAGGTATGGTAATTTATGCAAAAATGTATTTATTTGCACTGCAATTCTCACCAGTGACGGAGATCAAGCGTTGATCTTCATAAATTAATGAATTAATCGATAATTATTATGTTCGAGTGTACCAACATACAGTTAGTCGGATAATAAATTAATCAGTTTTTAGCTAATGATGTAATCCATTGTTTTGTAGATATAAACGAATGTAATGTCAATAATGGTAGATGTAGTCATACATGTGTTAATACACACGGAACTTATCACTGTATCTGTGACACTGGTTACGTACTGGACTCTGATTTACGAACATGCTTAGGTAGGTGTTGTAAATATTTTATATAAACAAGTGTAGATGATGGTGGTTTAAATTTCTGTTTCGCTTGTTTCTATCATGTTTACATTAAATTGCTTCCTACTTGAACACCATATAACGTTTCCTATTTCAATGCGAATTTATAATTGTATTTATAAATAGTGTCATGTATAGAGACAAACAAATTTGAATTTAACGAGATACAATTTCGCAGAATACGCCAGGTATTTGGTCCGTTCCATAGGTGGCAGCTTTATAATATTTAACAATCATGCAAAATATCATTTTTTAAAATGAATCTTATTTACTTGTGTTTTCTGTAGACTACGATGAATGTACAGAACGAAATGGGGACTGTGATATGATTTGTCAAAACAGCCCTGGATCGTACACATGCTTGTGTGAATTAGGTTATATATTAAACGTTGACAGAAAAACATGCTCCGGTACGTATTATGAGATGTAAGAGTATTTCATTTGATTATAAGACTACGTGACAAGATGATTTTTGACAGCGTTACTTTGATGTTTAGTTCACTGTAATTACATTATCATTTAGATATTAATGAATGTGGTGAGTTTAATGGTGGATGTGATCATAATTGTGCAAACATAGATGGGTCTTATATCTGTTCTTGTTATCCGGGCTATGCTTTACATAGTAATGGACACACATGTTCAGGTAAGTTAATTACATGACACTGCGATTTCGATTTTAGTGTAATATTAATACCCGTCGATTGTCGTTTATGTCAGCTGTATATAAAACATATAATATTTTCTCCGGTCAGATGTAAATGAATGTTGGCTTAACATCGGCGGATGTGAACAGTTGTGTATTAATACAGATGGGTCTTATTATTGTTCCTGTAACGGTGGATACACTTTGGACGCTGATGGCGAACTGTGTTCTGGTGAGTTATTATTGTCATTGTGTGTGTCTAATACATTCATCACTAGTTGCAGTCAATTTCACCTATGTATAATATGTACAGTCAACTTTAAGAGCATGCTTTATAATTGAAAAATTACCACAGACTATAGCCTTGTTTAACTAAAACCTATCGCAGTATAAACCTATTAACATAGAAAGGATTGGTGATTTTAAATAACATGTAAATGTGTTTATTTATTGTGCACCGTAACACAAGATATACTAGTATATACTATTGGTTTTATATCACTTTCGTTTTATCAGATGTCGATGAATGTGTAAATGACAATGGTGATTGCCAACACTGCTGCAAAAATACACTTGGATCTTTTGAATGTCATTGCTATCTTGGTTATCAACTAAACTCGGATGCAAAATCATGTGTTGGTACGTGTAACTCGTCAACTCAGTGTACATACATTGCATTGCAGTCCATTTATACAATTATTCCCTGTGGTGTATATCATACGACAGTACAGTTTTCTACACCTTAAAAGCATTCTATGATTATAGAGTGTTTGTACTTTTGAAACATTTGAAAGCATTTAGAAGCCATATATGTTAAATGTGAATACAGTTCTGTTTGTATGTAATGTGTTTCATTTGCTTATTTTTTATTTAATTGACTGAATTGATAATTTTTAATAACTATTTTTAACTATTTTTAATATTTTGCTTAAATAAGATGTAAACGAATGTGCAAACTATAATGGTGGATGTGAACACATCTGTACAAACACAGAAGGGACATATCATTGTTCATGTGATACTGGATATAATCTACGAGAAGATGAAATATCGTGCTTTGGTACGTATTAAACATTCAAAGAACAAACCTCTCGTTATACATCTTACGTTTCCTTCGATATTCAAATATCATTTCGTCTACACACACAAATTTAACCCTATCATTATTATTATTTACTATACTATATACTTTATATACTATACCATAACTATAATGCGCATTGGACGAGGACATGGTAGCTTTTATAATTTACTTTTTTTTTATTCAAGATGTAAATGAATGTGAGAACAATAATGGAGAATGTGACCACACATGTCATAACGTAGATGGTTCGTTTACTTGCTCCTGCCGTACGGGTTACACAATTACTGAAAATAATATGAGTTGCACAGGTTAGTTACCTTCTATGAAAACAATATAAACAATGTTATGAAAAATAATTTGTACTACTGCTTAGCTGCTTGGTAATAAATATATTAATTTGTTCAAACAATTTGATGAACAGAATAAAACATTTGATGAAGAATCAACTTCTCGTTTCAATAAATACTACTTGAAAACGATGTGTCGTCTATGCTTGTAACCTAAACTCTAAATGAACTTGTTTTACAAAAATTTAGATTCAAACGAGTGTGCTATAAATAATGGTGGGTGTGAACACGGCTGTACAAACTCGGAAGGCTCCTATCGTTGTTACTGTTATGATGGATATATTTTGATGGCGGATGAGATGTCATGTACCGGTAAGTATTGATATCTAACGCTACTGCTCGAGGAATGTAGTCGATAATAAGAAATAAAATGAGAATATAGTTGATATATACTCAGTGTTGTTATTATGTTCATACACTAAACATGAATAAGTTGTGGTGATATTTCTGCTGTCCTCCTTACCGAAATAAAAATAAGGCGCCGAAAGACAATAAATATGGTGATATAAATGCTGAAACGAGGTAGTACATTATTCCAACAAATGTGGAAACATAGAATTAATATCATTTTTTTTGCATTTGTATCAATCAAGATATAAACGAATGTGACGAAAACAATGGTGGCTGTGAACACAAATGTACAAACTCTAAAGGTTCGTTCACATGTTACTGTAACACTGGTTATTTACTCACCCAGAATGGAAAGACTTGTTCAGGTACGTGTTGTATATATATCTGAGTATATTTAATACAACTTGAACTTGAGAATTGTATGTATTTAAATATGTTAAGTTTATGAGAAATTAATATCTTATAAATGGTATTATATTATAGATGTCAACGAATGTGAGACTAATAATGGTGGGTGTAATCACGACTGTCTGAATATGGATGGTTCATTTGAATGTGGGTGTAGAAATGGTTATAATCTTGACAATGATAGAGCGTCATGTAACGGTTAGGATCTTTAAATGTGTATTCGTACGATGGTATTAATTAATAGTTCGGCATTACTGTGTTGTATGGATGGTCGTCATTGAATTGACTTGTAATTCGTTCAACCTATCAGATAACAACGAATGTGATCTCTATAACGGCGGCTGCGAACATAACTGCGACAATACAGATGGATCATACGAGTGTTCATGTAATCGAGGTTTTGTTTTGAATGCGGATAGTACAACATGTTCCGGTGAGTATGAATGAAATAATGAAAATTAATTATATTGAGTAGAACAACACCATGTTAGTGTACAATACATATAACATAACATATAATATATTCAGAGGTTATTTTCCATATTACTAAACTTCAGACTTAAATTATTAAGTACTTTTTTATAATATGCAGATTTAGGGTGCGTAATGCATCAAGATGTTAACTATCCTGTCCATAAAGCAAAGAACGTCATCCTGAACAGTGTACACCGCTCGCCAGAAGATTGTTGTGTTCAGTGTACAGAAACACCCGGATGTACTATTTGGACCTGGGTCGAACGCAGTCGTGCTTGTCACCTTAAGAGGGGAAACCTGCATTCCAAACCAGCTTCCGGTCATGTGTCAGGAATACCTCACTCAGGTACGTTATTGCATAAAGAAGCATCCCCAAATGTTAACAAGTAACACTATTTCCCATCTAAGAACTGGGCAGAGGTCTGCTTCGTTTATTCATTCATTCTGGTTATATATTTTGAAGAAATACAAATTTAGGAAAAAAATACTCTGAGGCGGTGATTAGTATTTGTGTCACGTTAAATTAATTTTGTTGTTTCTCTGAAAAAAAAATTCTATATATTTCGCAAAGATATGTTATCTACTCGAAGAGCATCCACTGATACACGTATATGTAATATTGATAGACACGTGTTCTCAGTAATATTCAAGTGTTTCCTTACGCATTGCTTGCTTATTATATACAGACATTGACGAGTGTCAAGACGATAACGGCGGATGTGATCACACATGTGTTAATACCCATGGCTCTTTTCATTGTACGTGCGGTTATGGTTATATCATGGATACGAATGAAAGAACTTGTTCAGGTAAATATCTAGGTGTAACATAATATATATTATACGCTGAATTAACGTTGCTGATTTTTTTTACATATGTAACACGAGTAATGTCTGGGTGTATTTTGTTTAGTTAATTAGTCCCCGTTCGGACGCAGTCCGAAAACGGGGACTTATGTTTTGCCCTGTGTGCGTCCGTCCGTGCGTCCGTGATCACCTGTATCTCGAACATGCATGGACCGATTAAGTTCAAACTTCACTCATACATCACA